TACTGTTGAAAGGCGTGGTTGCTCAAAATATTTATTGTGTTTAATAGAAATTTTAAGACAAGTTTTCTTGTTACTTGACCTATTCCATTCGATGTGTTTGGTTCTTTAAAAAGCGTGGTTTTGTTATGTAACCCATGAACGCTGAAGCTGAACGCTAAAGCTGAACGCTGAAACTGAACGCTGAAGCTGAACGCTTGGTGCTCGCGTTGCGTCCGTCAAGGCCACAGCGTTCGCTCTTTGTTCTGCCGCTCAACTGGTGATATTAAAGCAGGCTCTCGGTAGTGTCCACGTAGCTCATTCTCAGCTCCTAAAAACTCTTCCAAGCAACTATCTTGACCTAAAAAACAAATTCTGCTGCTCAAAAAATACAAATTGAGTAGAAAATTATTTCTACAGCGATCTCACATTCACTTGTGGTCTATAAAAATATAAAAATTTAGCTTCGGCAAGCCTATGAATGTTCGTCTTGAGGCCTGGCAGCTTTCAAGGTCAGTCGGCCAAGGTCTTTGTCCTGCCGCTACTGCATTCACGACCCAATAAACCCCGGTTTTATCCTCTACCTCTCTACCCCGGTTTTACCTTCCCCTCACCTCTCTTGCTCTGTTCTCAGTTGCATACTCTCTAAGTTCGTTATTCTTTGTTCAGACGCGTTTGATGTTTAGCTGAAACTATGATGCTGTGTGCAGCGATTCCTTTTTAACCTAGGGACCCAATATTTTTTTATCCTTAAGGAATTTAATGCCTAATAAAGGTTAGTGTTATGGTTGATAATATTCTTACTTAATTACTTTTACGGCAAAGGATCTCGATTAATTTCTTCGTGATTTTTTGAAACAATCTTTTATTCTATTTATTTTTCTTGCAGTGAACTTAAAATTTTACAAACGTTTCTCTACTGGGTTTATTCAAGATATTTATTATAATTGTTGTTAAAAGTTGTGATGTAATAGGTAAATTATTTTTCTAAAATTCGTAGAGAATACTAACGTGAATCCATTTGATATACTCGTACAACATATTCTGTCTCTAACCATGAACATATTTAAAAAAATGTAACTCATGACCCACTGCAGTGAGTGACAGAGAGCGCATTTTCTCGTCGACGAAAACGTGAAGTCACGGACGGACAGACAGACAGGCGGACAGACATGGCAAACACAATAGCGCCTTTTTTTCCATAAATGAGGAAAGGCGCTAAAAATCGTTGGACTCATCTACAAAAAACACAGTAAGTTACATTACAAGAGGTTCTAACAAGAAGAGGTTACAAGAGGTTCTTCAAAATAATTGTGCTTGAGAACCTTAGAGAACTTGAAGCATGTGAAGACTGGTTTGTCATGCACTTTAGATTTTCGTCGGCCACCTAAAAGCCGGCTGCGACTTTCAGCTGGTGTCTTGATGAGTGGTTTCCATGGTAATCGGATTCCTTATATAATATGTAACTTTTCTTGACCTAAATGAACGAGATTTTACGATCGTATCTTTTGTAGAATGAGGACGCTACTTCTAAATCGAAGGAGTACGGTTATGGAAAGATGTAATGTAAAACAAATGAATGGAATGGGAAGAGTTCACTTTCCCATTTATTCCTCTGATAAGCACGGAGGCTGGGTAACTAAAGGTAAAAATAAATATATAAATTCGTCTTTGAGCTACTTAATAGAAATGAGGCCAACCTCAAGTCTAATTGTAGTGCATGAATTCTACTGGATATTTTCTAGCTAGATAACTTCGTTATAACTGAACTATTAAGAAACTTAGTGCTCGATCGTATTTACATTAAAGCCTAATTAATTTCGTTTGGCTAGCGTTTAATTTTTATTTGGTTAGCAATCAACGATATTTTTATTGCACGTATCTGTTGTTTCACATAAACAAAAGAACTATAGGTGCGTCACCGCGACCCATTTTTAGACAGAAATATGTTAAGTTCGTTCTGATGTCCTCTACGAGACAAATCCTTTTTAAACTTACCAAAATTTTTAAGTACAGTTCGAGTCGCTTGGTAATTCGATAAAGGAATTCTGTATATGAAAATACCACTAACAAGGAGTCGCGTTCAGAAATATTTACCGGGACTTCGAAATTGCATCCCGGATGAAAATTTCCGTCAACGGTCTCATTAAATCTTTTCACGAATTATTCTTTATTGGGAATATTTAGTTCTAAGTTCGTAAATTAGGAACAAAAAGTGGAAGCATTTTCTGTAATTCGACACCTGAGATCTCAAGGCCAATTAAATTTTCAACTGCCTTGACTCCAGCTCCTAACATTTTTGAGGATATTTTTTTCTTTTTGATAAATTTTGTATTAGTTAGAATCGATCGTTACGTGCATGTTTTCAGAATATAGATTTGACATAACTCTTCACTTTTTAAAGATCATTTTCCAAGCTGAAATTGACGTATAGGAAAACTAATTTATTTAACAAACTGACATGCATTGCGCTATAAATTTTGTCTCAAAATAATTGTTTGCGGAAATTAAAAACTGGAAGTTGCGAAAACGATGATTAGAAATTATAATTTACTCATAATTTTTATTGCGTGAATTAAGTAATTAATCAAATCAATTAGTTTTACTCAATAATATCAAACAGTAACGAAAGCTTGGAACAACAGATTTTCAGCAGCTTCCGACCTTCAAAGTATTTAGTTTAAACTAACAGAAAGAATTCAGTCGCGTTTGTCAAGGTCTTTATATCGACTCTTGAGTCGACGGCCTTGACCTGCTGCGACACGACGTATCAAGGCTACTCAGTCGATTGAAGTACTATGTGATTCATGTGGTACTCAAGTCATGGCCTTTCATTATAATCTGTTGATAAATTTTTTAACGAGAAAAGTAAAGAAATTGTCCAGAATCTGTAGGAATCTGCGAGGATAAAAATATCATTCAATTCTACAAGTTCAAAATAATCGATTTAATGGACATCAATTAAGTCAAATAAGCAAAAATTTCCCTGCATTTGCTTGAGTTTACATTCACAGAGAGTATTATTAAATGGATATACACTAAAATTGCTTTTACAATATATAATTTTACTCGTCTCTCATTGGTTTCATGAAAGCTTTATTTGATGTAGTGCAAATCGTGATAATTCACTTAGCCTAACAGCTCGCCATGCGCAAGTACTCAGCTTGGTCGAAAATAACATATTTTTTCCAGCTCTTGCCGACTGACCTTGAGTCTTTTCCTAGAATTTTCCATTATGTTTTCCTGGCGGTCCTAGAGCGATGCTATTGGGCTACGTTTATTCGACACACACGAGACTTCTCGAAAAAATGTCATGCGGTGATGCAACGTAATGTAACGTAAATAACATATCATGCGGTGTCAAGAACGTGATTCGGGTGTTAGTTTTGTATTTTGATAATCTGATTTTTATGGTTTTTTTCTTGAACTGTTGTGCATTTCATTTTATTTGAAAAGTCTCTTTAGTCTAATGAATTAAATATACGACAACGCGCTTGTTGATTGTTATCATACTGCTATTTGCTGTATTCGAATAAATGGTTAGCTTCACTGCCGCGAGTGTACTTTCAAAGATCAATAGGATGAGAATATTTTATTTTATTGTAACTGAGACAATATGAGAATTTTTAGTAGAAGGTTGATTTGTTCATTCAATTGCCATATAAACACCGCCAATGATTTTTAGTTGCATATTAGACACGGGTTGACATTAGAGAGCTTGTGTACCTTGACCGCAAATGCCCGAGACCGCAACCTTGAAACGAAGGTCTCTGTAGCCTTGTCCTCTGGTGACCCCGGCTCTGCAGTTCCCTCACATCCCCTCTATCACCCCACCGCAGCCATCCCTCCCTCTGGCCGCACCCTCGCTGCATGAAAGATTTGACCTTCAGTGCTATATTTGGACGCAGTCCTAACAGCGCGCTGCGTTCTTACCCTCGTGGGAGCATCCAAACCCTCTAATCTTCCTGTAGGGGTTTTGGGATACTCTCAACATTTCCTAAAAAATTAAAAATAAATTTCCATGCTCAACTTCGCGGAAAAAAACTTCTTGACATCTTAATACATTTGACATTTCCTGCTAATAGATGTCGACGAAAGATACAACCGAAGAACCAATTTCTTTCTGTCGCTTTGATTGTACTCAGCTTTTTATTCCAGTCGCAAGACGTAATTCATGTAGACTAAAATTGCCCTTATCATAAGTTTTCTTTGAGAAATTGGCGCATCTGAGAACTTAAGGTGACTTACTTATCAGCACAAATAACTTCCATTTTACCACGTTTTTCTTAGCTTCGTTTCGTGTCTGTCTGTCATCAAAAATTCAAACCTTAATTAAGAGCACTTCTGAAGATCCTAGAAACTTGAAATTTGGCATGCATGCTTATGCTACCTAACAATTATAAGAAATTATGTTCCGTTTTAATTGAGCGGGACCTTGTAGAATAAGTTTAGTTTTAAGTTGATTTCTAGATAGCTAGGAACCATGACAGGAGGATTTTGGAGGCGTGAGCGATAGGTGATACCTAACTGTGTTCTGGACTGTTGATTTCTATATCAACTTTGGAGTGCAATTATCATCCTATCTCTTACTAATTAACTTGAATTAATGCATGACATGGGCCCTTTTGGCATTTCATGCATGCAACGTTACCTCTTTGGTTTGGCCCAACAATTTAAAGTCGTCTTTGACGCTTTACTTTGGCAGTATTGCCGGCTTTCGAGCTTTAACTTAACCTACTAATTGCACTTGTGCACATTAACCTCCTTCTGCTAACTTAACAAGTTGGGCCAGCCATTAACTAATATTCCATTAATTGCACCATTTTACCACAAATCTACCTCTGAACGGCTTTATTCAAGCCACTTCGAAATTCGCCAATGGCAATAATTTTGAAGGTTGGTCTTCGCAATAACTTGAATTATGTCTTGTGAAAATGTCGAGTTTTGACTTGTTTATACCATATTACTAAGGTTCTTGCTAGTATTTGAAACCCGACCTTACCGTTTATTCCGTTATATTACAGTATAACCCCCGGTATTCACCTCTCGTCTCGTGTGTCATCTCGCTTCTTGCCTCCGGTGCTGTCAGTGTACACTACCTGTTCTGCATTGCACTTTGTTTAATTTAAGGTTAGAAGTGGAAACTTCGTTACTGTCATATCTTGTGCCGTTGAATTGGAATTGCTGAATATAATAGTTTAGTCATTTCAAGTATTCCTACATTATTTTAATTTAGATCTTTTGTCTCTAATTTCAGTTTCGTGAACATCAGCCTCTACAGTTCTTGACAGACTGCACTGATGTCCAAGTTTTATTCGTTTCGAGTTCAATAAAAATTATTAGCTGTTATATTCGTATAAATTCCTTACACAATTCAAGATTTAATAATCTGAAATTATAATAAAAAATTTAATTTTTAGAAAAAAAACTAAAAATTCACGGCTCGGAATCGAGTTTTTTTCTCGAACATCCAGACTTTCTAACCCTGGAAATTGATTTGAATTGCTAAAATTGCTAAACTAAAAAGTAGAAAATAAGTAAATATAGAAAATCATTTTCAATAACTACTTTTTTTTTGTTTTTTTTACAAAACTAAAAATAATGAAATAAAAAAAATTTAAAAGCCACGTTTTCTTAACGGACAAAAAAGAAAAAACATTTACTCCTACATAACATTACATAACATTTTACATAACTTAGATGTTATGTAAGAGTAAATGTTTGTCTTTTTTGTCCGTTAAGAAAATGGGGTTTTTAAAAGTTTTTCTTTCATTTGTTTTATTCAACAATAAACAGATTTTCAGCAATAATTTAGCATATCTATATATACTGTGACTATTTGACTATAATAAAATGTTTAAATGTATAGCCGAAATCCCTTACATACAAAAAGATGCCATTCCATCTCTATTCAAAATTGTTCATTTTGGCAAAAGGATTTTAAATAATTTCTCAAGTTGTCCTGATTAAATTTTTGAAAATATAGCATACCTTTCTTCTACATACTCATGAGGGATTTAAAGAATTTTTTCCCGTATTTCAGTGCATTATGTTTCGATTTTGAGGGGATATTTGATAATATGTCATGTATTTCTAGATTTTGCCGTTACTATAATCCGAGTTTCTTGTTCGTACTTCTCCGTTGACTTATTTTCGAACTCGTGACGTTATAACATTTAGTTTATGTATATACTATTAAGCCCTCACGACTGCAGACACGCCAGAAGTGACCATGGCTGTGCCTGAAATGTGTTCAAGGCTCAAGTATTCATTCCAAATGAATGTTTACACGATTTAAATGAAGAAATTCGTCTCCTGTAAACAGTCTAAACTTGCTCAATGACGAAGAAATCCAAATAATCAGAGTTTGATGTATCATTAATCATAACTAATAAACTATGTTCACTCACCTTAATTGGTTTTAAGTGTGAAAATAACTGGCATATCCGAAATTCGTCGGTCTATCAAAATCATGTTTTGCATCTATTACGTGAAACAAGCTGATAACACGGGAGATTACGATTGATATATGTAAAGTGGATCAATCATAGGTTAAGAACCATTTCGATTTATTTCCATTATTGCCGTAGTTTGTTGATAAAGAAAGTAATGAATGACAAATTTTCTTTGAATAACGATTTAAATGTATTTATGACGCTTAGAATGTCAAAACGATTCTAACTTTCTAACATTCTCAAAATCTTTGGACTTTGGTTGGAGGAAAGTTTACGTTGAAGTAACATTACAGAAGATTAAAAAAAAGATTCAGCCTTTATTCACAAAATTTTATGCAAACAAAGCTCTTAATTTCTGTATTGCCGTGAAAAACCACGAATTTAACTATGAAACATTATAGGGTATACCGGTCTAGGTATGAGCCGAAATCATTGGGTTATTTTAGTTTCCGATGTAATACATTCGTTTTCTGAGAATTCCAAATTTTCTCCATTTTCTTCCTTCTATCACCACTAACAAACATAATAACTTCATTGGAACTCCAGGTTCATTCTCATCATGATTTTTGAGAGCAGTTCCTCAAGATTTTTTATAGCTTTACTTACTATTATCCATCAAAAAATCAAGTCAGATCCTACACACATTTTTGCAGGCTATAACGATAAAGAGATCAGAGTATTGTCTGCGTGCAGTCCAACACAGGGGACAGGGGTCAGGGCTATAAACTAAAAAACTGCGCTGTAACACATCCATGCGAAAAAATTTCTTCTCGCTTCGAATCACCGACGTGCAGAACAGCCTTCCCGATAGCATCGTTGACGCTCCGAGTATGAACGCCTTCAAGAACAGACTAGACAAAGCTATGCAGGACCATATTGTTCAGTCTTGAAATGCCTAGCACTTTACTAAGTCCAGCTGCTATCTCAATCAGTCGTCAGTTATGGAAAGATCGGGTCCCGTGAAAAGGCCGGATCCCGTGTGAATCAAGTCACGAAAAGTACAAGAATCGGCAACAGGCCATTGGCCCATTTCTTCAGTGCCGACACTTCTATTCTATTCTAACACTTTCCGATTTCCGATAGAAAGCCAAGAATTTCGGGGATTGTCCACATTTTTCTGTCCGTCTTTGATGTAGTTTAAGAGCACATGGATTTTATTTAGGAAGGACATAGTAGAATATTTTAGTTCATTTTTAACAGGCTGTAGACGGATCCTCCAACTTTCAACTTTAATTTGGCAGGCAAATCTAAAAGGCACTTCACAGATTTATTCATGATGGCATGACGTCACAGCCACCGGGTTCCAGAGGATGCGGTGAAGATTGCGAACGAAGGTATTTATGTATTTTATTTCTTGAGCTGAATGGGTTCTGTAGCGTTTTTAAGAATAATTAATAGCAAAAAGCGGGGACCTGGGATAAGTTAGAACACACGAGTGACTATGAAATACCAATAGAGAGGACGTATTTATTGATTGTATATTACGTCTCCGAATTATCGAATTAGCTGGCTCGCATTTGCAAACAATTTCATGAGCGTTTTCGAGAAATAATGTGAACAAAAAAAAGCAATAAAGGGGAATGAGTTTTATATAAATTTGTTAAATAAAACTCTCTATATTTACGCTACAACACTAATAGTCATTTACGTTATTTGACACATATAATGAGGAGACTCGCATCCGTGATCTCCACAACAATACGCTATGCTGCGAACAGTTCGATAGATGAAATGTTGAAAATTCAAATTTGTTGTGGTGTTTATTTTTTTATATAATTAAACATTTAGAGGCGATTTTTTTATTTAAGCTATGGCTGATTACATAGGACATTGACATAAATATCATAATAAATTGAGAAAAATGAATCTATGTTCATTTCATAGATGTAAAAATAGAATAATAAAAAAAACAGAGATAGGAAATTTCGCCATAATCGTCAGGTATGACTTGCATAATAAGTTAGGGAAGTCCTGACCGTTGTGACGAGTTATGGGTTAAAATAAGGACTAATAATATCATTTTTAAAATCTTCTTGGTGATCTTTGCGGCATTAAAGTAATTTAACGAAATTATACAGCGCAGATGCCTAATTATATCAGTCTTTATTTTAGATTTAAAAAAGACACCGCTGTATTCCGTCGCACATTTAAATCGAAATATGCTAATAAACTAATGATGAATGTAACTATATATGAACCCCCCCCCAAAAAAAATATGGAAAAAAGGGAAATTATCCTCAAGTTTGCAATGTTCTTAAATTCTTTATTTATAGCGAATTTTCTCATTTATGGAAAAAATGCACTATTGTGCTCGCCATGTCTGTCTGTCTGTCTGTCTGTCCGTCCGTCCGTGACCTCAAGTTTTCGTCTACGAGAAAATGCGCTCTCTGTCACTCACTGCTGTGAGTACTGAGTTATATTTTTTTTACTTCTCTACGTAAAAACTAACAATTAATTATTGCATGATATTTACAGGAATGTTTAAATTACTTATATTAAGCTAATTTTTTTAATCTCTACTGACTGACTAATAATCAATCTACTTTTAAAGGTGAAAATGAAATCAGTATTCCCAAAATGATTAATAGAGCAGAATCTTAGTTGGACTAGGTATTTCTTGAAAGCATATTTTAAATTGCTATGCCGCATGTTTCCACTGGAAATAAATCTGACAAGGAAACTAGGAGCATAATAATTGATGAACTGCCATATGACAACATTGCGCAAGCTCCTGTTGCCATCGTTCAGGCAAAAGACCAGACTTTGAGATGTGGGCACAATAGACATTAGAATACAATCGCTATAGGCTCACTAACAATAGATGCAGACACTGTCGCCGTCCATCGATCTGTATAGGCCGGGCATCTACACATCGATCGATGTGCTTGCATGTACAGTTATTGTGAATGGTTTGATTACATGTACAGTTGTACAGACATCTCGCAAGGCATGGAACGACACGTGACTTCTGGAGCTGCCGTATTCCGTTCCTTTTTACGCAGCATTGCAAAATCGCCGTATTATTATTGAGATTTTCTAGAGAGCATTATACTACTCTTTTACCTGAGAATTTTTAATCAGCTGAAATATTGACTGGTTGATAGACCTACGAGCACGTATGTATTTTATGACTTCGTCCGTAGTCCTACAAAATAAATACTAAACTAACATTTATAATCATGCTAAAAAGTACATTCTTTAATGAATTTATTGGAGCCAAATTTTCCAACTAACTTTTTTTGAAGTGGCTCTATAATGAAAGACGCCGAAATATTTATTTGGTTTCAGTAGCATGACGCTATGAAGATCCTGCTATTGTTGTGCTAGTTGCATGGCGGACCAAAGCATCACTGGTATGTCTACGTTTTTCTGGGGTTTTGATAATATGCAATAATAATATGCTTTTCTCGTGGTATAAAATCTAGTCAAGAAAACGAAAACAGTTTCAACACTAATCTGAAATATCACAAGAACGTTTCTATTGAGCTCGATTGCTGACGGCAAAACTAAAGATATATCAAACCTGCGATGGAAATTCGTCTGACAGGGAAAGGCTTATTGCAAATCGTCGCGGGAAATTCGTTCAAAACTTTGTATATGAAAAATTTATGCAAACAAATTTTTT